TAGTAGCACGATTTTACCCAGCGCAGCGGGTACCCGCAGCTAGTACATATATATATATATATATACGCAATTCAGTTATATTAGCCAATAGCATTATTTCACCACTGTGGAGGGTCCAGTGCGTCGCGTGACCTGGCAACAATCCAAACTAACGAATCACAACAAATGCGAATAATCTAATTAATCCAACACAACATTCGCTGCACATTTGTAACATTTCGCGCAGACCAACGCAACATGCAACAACGTCTGCAACAAGCGAATTGCGCGGGCGCGAATGTAGTCGATCCTATCGATTCCGGTGGAAAATGACAGACATTGTAAAAGTAACCTTCGTGCATTTTAAGTAGTGCGTTTAAAGTGAAACGTAACCAACCGAAAACGGCACAATACGTCACAGCTGTGCAAACGCATTGGCAGCTCGGGCAAATTTAGTAAAATAGAACAAACACCATATACGAAATATACCAAACAACAGAGTGTGCGCAATTAATAAATGCGATGTTTGCGTTGACATTCTGTTTTTGTTCTTACTTGCAGTTAGCAAGTTCAGTTAGCACTTAGTTCTTAGTTGGTTTCTTTGTTATCACGCTTGTGCCGATGGAGAGATGTTATCGTCGTGACTAAGAACAAGTATATAAAAACTAACGAATCGTATTTTTACTGCTTTATTCGTCATTTAGAGTGATTACGTCACCGTAAATAGTAAAAATTTATAAGTAATTCTGTTCACTTTTTATGGTTAAATTGCTGCATTATACTTCCTGTTTTACTATATTGTTTGATGTGAACATACACTCGTGACTCATACATAGCACATAACAAGCAATTAATGTCAGGAACACAATATCAATTCGTCAAGGTTTTTTGGATTTTTAATAAGTTGAGAAACAATCTTATCAGGTAAGAATTTGACGATACGTTTAGTCCCGTTAGTTCTTACTTTTAATGTAAAAAAATGGCAACAAACATTTTACAAATTTTACCATAGAAAATTCGTGACGTGGTTAATTTAACTGCCAGCGTGGAAGTTTCCGCGATTTTTTCGGCCGATTACAAAAATTCTCACCTGAAATTCATGTACTTGGCCATCTCTTCCAGCATCAATCTCATCCACATAATCATGACTTCTTCTCCCTGAAAGTCATATAGAGTTGTAAGTTTAGTACTTGTATTGTAATTGTCATGGTTCCAGTAAACATTTCCGGTGATCATTTATCTTCCCCGTGTCTCGCTCTCTCTTCCTCTCTCACTCTCTCTCGCTCTCCCCCCTATCTCTTTCTCTCGCGCGCTCTCTCTATCTCTCTCTCTCACCCACTCTGCTATCTATTCTATCTAATCCTATCTATCTACTAATCTATTATCTATCTATTCTATCTATCTATGTCTATCTATCTATCTATCTATCTAAATCTTAAGTCCTTAAATCCTTTTAATCTAATCTATCATCTAATCTATCTATCTATCTTATTTCTACTCTTCTATATCTATCTAATCTATCTATCTATCTATCTATCTATCTATCTATCTATCTATCTATCTATAATCTATACTATCTCATCTTCTTCTATTACTATCTATTACTATCTATCTATCTATCTACTATTTCACTATCTATCTATCTACTTAGTCTACTTTTCTCGTCTGGCGACTGTCCTCTCCTGCCCGTCTATACTCTCGCCCTCCCTTCTATCTATATATCGCTCCATCTCTTTTCTCTTCTCTCTCTTCCATCGTGCGCGACTCCTCTCTCTCTTTCTCTCTATCAATCTTTCTTCGCTGATCTCTACGACGTGAACTTATTAGCACGTAAAGATGGCGGAGCGGTGCGTAATCTTAAGAGTAGTCATCCAGTAATCCAGCTCTCAGCCGACCAGCTGATGATGCTGCTGCCTTCTGGCTGAGGATGCTGATGATGATGCCCGATAGGAAAACTGCGTGTGGGCGAGCAACGGACCACCGCGGCTTGCCCACGCAGAGCGTCAGTTGCCCGTCAGATTTCTCTCCCATCTTAGGTATTCACCTTCCTCTACACGATATGAGCTCACGAGCAGCGACAACGTCACTCACCGCAGCAGACCGACGTTGAACAGTAGCATACTCATCCGCAGCGCCACGAGACAAACGCGTGCCGGGGACGTCCGCTAGCGCGCAGTATGCGAACAACGACCAATAACTAGCAGCCTCCTCAGATTCGCCGATCCGAAAGATTCGGTCGGTCCGGTTTCCTTCCGTCGAGCCGAGTCGACGGCAGCGTGCGGGCCGAGATGTTTGGCGCGAGAGAGCGCGGCGGGTCGCGGCAGCTCTCCTATCGCGCGGCGCGCGTGTCTATAGATTTAAAAACGCGCACTGGTCTATCGACGACGCAGCTAAATATGCCGCTCGAAAATTGTAATACACTTGTGGGTGTGCCCGTCGCGATCGCCAACGACGACACGTTCTCCCCGCCGGAGCCGGCGGTGGTGTTGCGGTCCGACGGCGGCGGAGGTTACTCGCTAGTGTGGGGTGGGGTTGGTGGTGGAGTGGGGATTGTGTCGGTGGAGTGGGTGGTAGGGTGGGTGGTGGATGTCGGGTGGGCTGGCGTGGTGGGTGGTTATTTTAATAGTGTGGGCTTGGGTTGGTGAGGTGGGGTGGGGGTGGTGGGTGGTCTGGGGTAATGGTGTTTTGTTGGTGAGCTGGTTGGTGGTGGGTGGGGGTGTGTTGGTTGTGGGGTCTGGTGTGGTTACACTTAAACGATAATAACTTTAACAAACTACCTCAACTAACTTTATTAATTTTGATAGGCATCAAAAACCTTTGTAGCGATCGGTCAAATTCCTCATCAATTTCATCAGCTGTTTAGACGGCATTCTGGTCAAAAAGCTAGGCTGCATTAGCATAGACACTGCATTACCCAATAATTATTCTGTTGTCTCTTTTTTGTGTCGAAAATATGCATACAATAAGGCCTAGCGTTCACACGAGACGTACTCGTATTTCTGAATATACCGGATTGCGAAATATACCGTATTGAGACAAATACGCGGCCCGAAGCGTTCATCACGACTGATTCGCGCTCAGAAATACGGTAAATTTGCGAGCTGCGAGCTGCTTTAAAACAACTCAACGCGAAGCAAGCGAAAATACAACAATGCCAATGCGCACCCAACTGCCCGAAAAAATACGTAGCTGGTCTCGCGCTCGGACAGTTCACTCGGAGTTACACTGGAACTGTAAGAGCGGACAGTCTATAAAATACGCGGCTTCAGAAATACCGTATTTTAGGTTCACAACATGACAATGTCGCGTCCTAACGCAACCCATTCGGTATTATCTCAAGCATCGGAAAATTATGTCGGTTTGAGAACCTCGTATTTACATGAAATCACGATCTGTTTTAGATATATCGTATTTCTGTGGCGCATCGGTAATTTTGGTACGTAGTGAAGCGCGCTAAATAACCGTGGGATTTTCATTGGCTACGTGTGGAACGGCGGCTAATAATACTGCCAATGAAATACAACCCATAACAAAATACATCTGGCCCAGAGTCTGGCAGACACGGACGAGTGCTCTATTGCGGCTTTGCCCTTTGCAACTCGCTGTATTCTCCGAGTTTATCGCCTTTATTCTAAGTTTAAGCATGTCAAATGCTTTTTCATTTGTCAGCGGTGACACACGCGTAACCAAGCGTTTGAGACAAGAAATAAAATTGCTAGAGGCCGCGGAAGGCTCATCCTAAATTGTCTCAGTATAACTGTCCGAACGAAACTCGTTTTTATTTAATTGTTTAGGGCCGAAGAAAGAGCCAGAGACACGAAAATATACCACTGATGAATCCGATTGCTCCGAATCACTTTAGATTTCCAACTTCGAAATAGCGTCTTCTCAGAATTTTTGTCAAAAACTCAAAACTCGTTATTTAATAAGAATTTAAAGCGGTAGCATTCTATGCCTTTAGCCGCAAAGGTAAGCGCATGGCCGTGCATTCTAGCTAGTCTGCAGCGCTGTTATAGTTCTGTACACTCAATTTAAGTGGAGCCTACCAGCACGTATTAAAACCAAGGTTATATACGTGTTGACGTCGCGACGGTGGCGTAACGGTGACGATGACGGTGACGATGACCGGTGACGATTGACGTGACGATGACGTGACGCTGACGGATACGTGATGGGACAGTATGACATGTCGGTATCGCTATCGGGCGGTCCATTACACGCGTTGGAAGATATTATAAATTATTATCTATTCTATATATCATCATCATCATCATCATCAATTATATATTATTATTATTATTAATTATTATCATCATCATCATATCAATCAATCATCAATCGCCGATCATATCATCATCATCACATGTCAGTAGTAGTGGTGTAAGCAAATAGTAGACTAATAGTAGTGCAGTAACAGGTAGTAGTGTCGAATGCTGTAACGACACCGCCTCACTGCATACACATGGCAATGTGGTCGCAGCTGACGACACACACGACAAGCAGTGGGAGGAATGAGCTAATTATCTGTGTCGTGATATATATATAACGTCGCAAAACACGGCGCGGTGTACTGGGTTATCAATTTCTCATTTGAGGGCTACCTTAAGCCAACAGCCGACAACACGGATGTTTCATCAAAAAAGTACGTTGACGTCGCATGCGCCTGTGCTGGCGTGACTGTTGTGTGTGTGTGTGTGTGGTGTGTGTGTGTGTGTAGTGTGTGTGTGCTGTGTGTGCGCGGCGTGATGTTGTGTGTGTGTGTGCGTGTGTGTGTTGATGTGATGTGTGTGTTGTGTGTGTGTGTTGTGTGTGTGTGTGTGTGTGGTGGTGTAGTGTGTGTAGTGTGTGTGGTGTGTGTGTGGTGTGTGTGTGTGTGTGTGTGTGTGTGTGTGTGTGTGTGTGTGTGTGTGTGTGTGTGTGTGTGTGTGTGTGTGTGTGTGTGTGTGTGTGCGGTGAACTTGCTTGACAGGTAGGTTCGGAGTCTTCGGACAGGAGCAGGATAATTAGGGAAGACTCAGCGAAGAAGGGCCTGCGTGTAGGTGCATGGTGGATGATTACACAAATATTATTGCGTGAAGATTACTTGTTCGTTTGGAAACAGGACTTTTTTTAATAAGAATTATGAGTTGTTTTTTTAGCGATAGAAAAAAAGAAGATTCTATATATTCTTGTTAAAATTTTATTTTATATATTTATGAAAAAATGATATGCATTAAATTTGATGTTCGTACAGGCGATTCACTATACAGTGTACACCAACATATTTCACATAACCTGCGGCATAACGGTAACGTAACCGTCACAAGAACTCTACTAAATTAACAAGTTGGTGACATATACAGGGTCCTCCTTTCCAAATTGTCATGTCACTATGTGATCTGCTTCTCGCGTCATCAGACAAAGTTGTGTTCCTCCTTGGCTATACATGTGCACCCGGAGCCTCCACGTTCGTTTCTCTATCATCTTCCTCTGCTCTCTACATATACGACTCCTAGTCTTCAGTGCCTTGACTTCTCCTGATATCCACATACTTGTCCCATATTTTCCTTGCTTGTCTTCCTCTGATATCTACATTCTTGTCCCATCCTCCACTGATGCTTCGCCTTCTCTGATATCTACATACTTGTGCCATACTGTACTGATGCTTCGCCTCCTCTGATATCTACATACTTGTGCCATACTGTACTGATGCTTCGCCTCCTCTGATATCTACATACTTGTGCCATACTGTACTGATGCTTCGCCTCCTCTGATATCTACATACTTGTGCCATACTGTACTGATGCTTCGCCTCCTCTGATATCTACATACTTGTGCCATACTGTACTGATGCTTCGCCTCCTCGGACCCTATAGGCATCAAAAAAAACAATCCACACAGAGTTTACTTCCTCGCTCCGGCACATACACGACGCCTACCTTTGTCTGTCTTCTCCCGATATCTACAACCTAACTGTTCCCACTACCTTTTATCTCGCCCGTCCCTGCATGGCTTTCACATCTTCCTCGGTTCGTCTTCCCTGCTCTCTACATATACGAACCAGTCTCTGTATTTGTTTTTTTTTCACCGGCCTGTCTTCGCTCTGCCGGTTACTCGTCCTATACCTTATCATTGATCGTGTCGCTCTCTGCTCTCGCCATACGAAGCTAACCC